GTTATGTATAGAATAATCTTTATTATTTGTTCTGGTATTTTTATTCTTTTTAGAGCTTTTATTAAATACATTGGGCTAACTGAATCAAAAGCTCTTTTGATATCTTGAAACAACAACCATATTTCTTTATTCTTTCCTTTTGCGTCTTCGATTATATTTTGTAGTGTTATTATTGGATATATCGTTCTTCCTCCTGGCATTCCCACCCAGTTGTTTTGAGATATTACTTTTGTTTGGTCTATTATTTTTGTTGTTCTTGTTGTTATTATTTTTGTTAATATTTTTCTTGCTGTTTCCATTAGTGTTATTGGTCTGATGATATTGAGGTTTCCTTTTCAGTCTTTTGGTTTAGGTAGTAGAGTCACGTGACTTATTATCCAATCTATTGGAATTGTTTCTTCATTTATCATTTCGTTTAGGAGTTTCCTGAAAATTCATTTTCCTAATGGTCCCATTTTTTTCCACATTTCATATGTTATTCCTGTAGGTTCCAGAGCTTTATTCTTTGCCAATTTTTTTAAGATGTTTTCTAGTTCTTCTATTGATATTTCTTGTGTTACTGTTTGAAAGATTGTGTTCTGTATTTCTTGTAGATTTGCCATCTATTTTTCCATGTGTTCTTTTATTTGTTTTTTTATTTTTGTAGGACTAGTTAATATTTCTATTTCTCTATTTTCCTTCGTAGTAACTACTCTATCTGTTATAATTTGCTTTTTCCATCGACCTAATATTGAGTCTATTATTGTTTTTGGATTTTCTTTTAAATTTATTTGTCATTTTTTTATGTGTTCTTTTATTTTTTTATTTGTTATTTCATTTATTTCTGCTTTTGCTTCGTTTCTCCACATTTTCCATAGTATTTTACTTGTTACTAACCATTCCATTATTTCATCTTCTTTTTTTATTAATTCTATTTTTTTGTAATTTTTTCTGTTTATTTTTTTATTTATTTTCTCTATTTTTTTATTGGTTTCTTCTTTTATTTTTTTTTTATTTTTATTTTTATTTTTTAAATTTTTTTTTGCTATTCTTAATGTTTTATTTAGTTTATTTATGATTTGGATGATAGTTGATTTATAAAAACAATTTTTTGTTATTCTGTTTTTTGGTGTTTTAGCTTTTGTTATATTATTATTTACTGCGTTTGTAATTATTTGTTTAAGAGCATTCCATTTATTGTTTATTGTTTTGTTTTTAATTTCTATTTCTAATTTTCTAATATTGTTCTCTATTTCATTTT